ACAAGCATAAGAAACTTGTCAAGTTGAGGTCTAAGTAATAAGAGCTCTTTACTAGTAAAGTCCAAAGAATAAAATTGAGCAAAATATAACAATTTAACCCTTTCAAAACCTGCAAATGAGGCTCTTGGTCTTAAAACAAGAAATGCAGGTTAGGAGCTCAGTAATTATCTCCGGAAAATGACTATTCAACTCTGGTAAGGTTGAGTCTATCACATAACAATTCAAATCAACATAAAAGCGATGATAATAATTAATAAGTCACCTGATGAGCTCCACACCTAAGACGTCATCCCAATACTACAATCATGGGCAGATCTACTGTAGGGACATGGGGTCCCATTGAACTCACATGACATATTGCTTGCTCCATCATAATCTTTATCTCTCAGGCTAGATATGCTCATCCCATGTGTAGAAAATATTGCATCAATGGCATCCTTCAGTGACCGAGCACAAGTATTAATAACATGGGAAATTCACACACACACAAAACCTCATTTACTTGCCCTTTTGTCTACAAACTTCAAAACAACTGCATTTATTCCCTTACAAAATTGTTACGAGACTCATCAACCAAATGTGAAAACAAAGAATCACCCATCTCCTTCATAATAGCCCTTATTGTCTCAACGGTGCATTAGTTAACCAAATCTTTTTGAATGTTTGGTGAAGTCATTTGGTCATTTTCAGGGGCATTATTAAATACTATGTCCTTGACTTCCTCACAATGAGCTGCATACTAGTTTAGTAGCTCAATTAGATTTCCTCAATTGAGTGACTCTTTTGACTCGTCACTTATCATGACCATGGATAGGCAATCCATGTATCAAGAAAAATATAGTACAATATAGCACCGCAAGCAACCTCGTCGTATATTAACAAGAAAATGAATAATAATGTTAACATACCCAGATTTTGCAATTTGAAGTATTCTTTTCACATCCACTTGTTGCTAGTTTTCTTTCAAATGCACCTTCTTTTTTAGTATATCTTTGCAACTCAACGTTTATCACATGATGTTACATTTGAGCATCGGGAAAGAACTTCTCAACACAAAGAAAGACATTATATGGGCTAATTTGATATTTGTTGTTTNCACATGATGTTACATTTTAGCATCGGGAAAGAACTTCTCAACACAAAGAAAGACTTTATATTTGCTAATTTGATATTTGTTGTTTATAATTAAGTACAGAAGATTGTCCAACCTGGCAACAGCCTTAGGAGTTAAAAATGATGTATAGCTGCTTAATTTCATACTGGCAATTAATGTTGAAAATCTGACGGCCAACTTGTTTTGGTACTGTAGGTAATTGCAGAGATTTTGGGTACCTACTTCTTGATTTTTGCCGATTGTGCCTCGGGGATTGATAAGAAATCATGGTGAAATTTTCAGAATTAAAAATGGATGAAGAAAATGACATTTTTATTAAAGCTTACCATGTTGACAATGATATGTTTC